TACACACGAATCATTAATAACTTCAAAGGAACTTAAATTGAAAAAAAACAAACAAACAAGAAAGACAATAGAAAAAAATCCAAATTATGTTACTAACTGTAGTTCTGCATGTTTACGTAAAGCTTCATGAACTGTGGGGATCGTTGAAGCAAACGGTTCAGTGAGGCTTCATCTCTCCATCACTCCCAAATAAACTAATAATATAATCAACACATCCAGGGTTAGGGTTATGAAAAAATGACGCTCTGACTCCCTTCTCCTTTAGTCACACTTGTCCCTCACAGGAAGAAGAACCTGAACTCAGGGAGAAAATAGACTAATCTTGACTTGTGAACTTGTCTTTCAGCAGGAACCGGTGTCGGAGCAGAACTTTGATCATTATGTGGAGACTCTGACGTACATGTTTACCAATAAAGACTGCTACCAAAACCCAGAGAGCCGAGCGCTGATGGAGTCCATCAGCCAAGCAGTGAAAGGCATCGAGGTCTGATGCCAGGCAGCGGCGGCGGCGGCGAGCAGCGACCACATTCTTCTGGAGTCCATCATGTCTCTATGTGATCATTCTTCCTCTTCAGTTATTTCTTACCTGTTACCTCCATTAGTTCTTTAGCATGTTGTTGAGTGACGTGTGAGCCAGGACTGCATGTCAGGTGTGCTCGCATCCAAGGGTTACAATAAGTCAGGAAGTTCAAACCAGGAAACGAGAGCAGAACAAATAAAAGAGCCTGAAGTGAAGTGAGTTATGAACATATCCCAATAAATCTGATAGTATTCCACATTAGCTTAGTGTTGCACCTCCAATAACTAGTTTGTAGGTTTATTTTACTGTTGTTGTGTAACTATTTGTGTCCTGTGCAATTGTTAGTTGCATAACTAACTCATATCTGCTGCATTTTTTAAGCTATTATTTATTATTTATCTGCTTTTTAAATTATTTCAACGCCCAGATGAAAAAGATTCAATAACACAATAATAAAGATAAAGGGGTCATTTCCTCCACTGCTGAACAAAGAGGAAATATTTTAAGATATCAACTATGAATTATTTTCTATATCTTATTGTTTATTTATGTACTGGGATCTTTTTATGTGCAAAAATTTTGTAACAAAAAGTTTTTAAATAATTTTGTAAGGATTTTTGTGCTTCTGTTTATATCCCTTTGATTTTTATTTCCCCAAACTATTTTGAATACACTGCTATAGAGAGGAGGAGACGGAGCTGTGCATATTTGGTATTTATTTGGTGAAAAAACAAAGTGATGGTGAATATTTATTTTTTATTGTCTATGTGCTCAATGATGGGTGTAAATTGATTAGTCTTTATGTTTCTCTTGAAATAAAAGTAAAGTTACCACGAATTTCCTGAGTCTCTGATCTACATCATTACTCCACCTTGATTTAAGACTTTTCTGACCAACTTCTCATCAGAAGCTGCGACTAAAACTAGAAACTAGAACCACTGTTTGATGTTCAAAGCTGAACGCAGACCTACGCTGTCTGCAGCTTCATGTAGAAAACATTTTCATCTCACTGCATCTATCATAGCAGAAAGAATGACAGACTGGTGCATCTGCTGCTGATGATGATGATGGAACATAACCGCACAGAGAGGATCCAGGGATCTTCCAGCAGGTCTTAGCTGACCGTCTGCCTGGCAGATTAGTGCTAATATGTAGCGACTTCTCATGAGGTCAGATTAAACAGTTTAAAGATCAGCTATCAGTGACAAACTATTAAATATCTGCAAAAAATGGGATGAGAAGTGAACGGCGGGCTCTGATTGGAGGAATCCCAGCCAATCAGGTGGGAGTGATGACCTCAGGTAGAATAGGTGTGTTGCTAGCAGTTAAATATCAGTAATCTGCTGTCCTCTTCTACAGGTCATGATGTCACCAAGCGCCGCAGGAGCTTCTCAAACATTCAGCTTTATGGCCAAAAAGCTGCCAGGATCAGTATTGGATGTCATAAGGGTATTAAAGGAATAGTACACCCAAAACATGATTAGCCTTCATTTTCTACTCACCCCCATGCTGAACAACACTCTGGAGTACTTTTTTGA